AATAGGGCCTCCTCACCCCTGCCAAAGAAGCCCAGGTTCTAATCCCCAGAACCTGTGAATATGAACATTTACTTGGCAAGAAGAATTTTGTAGAAGTGACTAAATTAAGGATATTGGGCTGGGGAAATCTCCTGGATTATCCAGGTGGCACCAATAAGGCAATCACCGTGGTCCGGAACACAGGAGAGTCGGGTTAGAGACGATGACACAAGGAAAGCTGAGGTCAGAGAGAAACTGAAGATGTTATGCTGCCAGGTTTGAAGAGGAGAGAGTGTCTGTGAGCCAAGGAAGATAGGCAGCCTCTGGGAGCTGGATAAACTCAAGGACAGATTCTCCCTGAGAGCTTCCAGCTCAGCCTACACCATGATTTTAGTCCCTTAAGACTCATTTTGGGCTTCTGACCACCAGAACTTTTAGATAATAAATTTGTATTAAGCCACTAGGTTTACGGTAATTTGCTACAATAGGAAACCTATACAACAGCTAAGCCCCTAGGCTGGCCTTCTCTTCAGTGCCTTAAACACGCCCCACTTGTGCCCTATCAGGTCCTTCTGCACTCTGTCTGCAACACTCTTTTCTCTTACCCTGCTCTTTGGAAGACCGGCTTCGTCTCATTTATTGAATAAATACTGAGTGCCCGCGATGTGCACTAGTTTAAGTGGTACAGCCAAAAACAAGAAAAAAAGACAACTAGCTCTGCACTCCTGGAGTTGCATCCAATAGATGGAAAGGTGGTGAGCACAACTGTGGGGCGAAATCAGGAGTCTGGCTGTGGATGTGTAAGTTCCAGGTACTGCTATTAAGAACATCAGAAAAACTGAGTGAGGGGAGGGGGGACCACCAGGGTGTCCTGAGCATAGGACTGACACATTCTGACTCATGTTAGAAGGAAAATTCTGGCTACTGCATTAAGACTCTGAGAGCAAAGAGGGGAAAGAGGGAAAGACAAAGGCACACAGCTGGGAGGCTGGCCAGGGGGTGAATCTAATGATGGAGCCAAGAAGTAATGGTCTGGTCGAGGGTGGATGCAGGGCAGGTGGTGAAAAGCAGCCCGATTCCGAACACATGCTGAGGCAGAACCAACAGGATCTGCTGACGGGTGGACGGAGGGCTCAGAGGAAAGGAGTCGAGGAAGATCCCAAAGTTTCTGTCCCGAGCAGGTAAAAGGGAAACCAGTGCACAAGCAGAGGGCCCAGCCTAAGGCTGGAGCACAGACAGGGCAACCTGTAAGGCAAAGGCAGCGCCTGCGGGAGGTTGTGGGCAAAGCTGTACAGGCAGGTGGTGTGAAAGTTCTCCGACAGCTTCCGTTTTCTCTGGGAAACAAGCCACAAGGCTCTGAGCTGAGAGAAGATAAGAAATGCTGACGGTCTGAGGGAGAAGACTTGGAGAGTAGCCTAGGGGACTACGGAAACGCCATAATGACTGCCGGGAGGCCCCCCGGGCTCCCTTGAGGTGCGTGGTCACAAACTTAAGAAGGAACGGTCAGTATGGCTGTGTTTTTCTCCAGCCTCCTGCAGGTTCAGACCATCACTGTATTTTCTCCACTCACGTCACCTCCTCAGAGTGGTCCTTCCTGACCGCAAATCGCTAGGCTGTTCCATTCTCAGATACTTGCTATCACATCACCGTCTATGCTGTTGTTATCTGAAATATCTTTATCTCTGTAACTTATTTCATCTCCCCACTCAATCCCTGGACAAGCATTAACACTCCAAACCCGGGCAGGAAACTGCATTGTTTACACAGCCCTTCCGCAGGGCCTGGGCCAGCGGCTGGGCCACAGAAATCCCTCAGAAAAAACAGCTATGATAACCCAAGTTAAAGTGCACGATAAACAGTGCTTTTTTAAATAGGAAGAGATTCTTCTTCTCACTAGTCTGGGGTCGTAGACGTGAGGGCTGTAATTAACTCTGAGGAACAGATGTGAGCATGGGAAGGGACCGACCCTTAACCACCTGCTTTGACGGCATAAACCTGGACGCCAGGCCCGGCGGGTCCCGTAACCCACGTCCAGGGCGGCGACTGCCTGCCCCTCGCCGGCTCACGAGCGGTGGGGACACACAGAGCGACCCCGCGGACCTCACACCCGCGCTGGCCCTCCTCAGCGCAGCCTAGGCCGCACTCCCCGGACACCAGCGCCGGCCGTCCCGCCCGCCGCTCACCCCGCTCCTCCTCGGGCCCAGCCGCCGCCTCTCCCGGCGCCCACAGCTCCTCACCTGCTGCAACATGGCGGCCTCGCGACAGCGCCACTTCCGGGAGCCACGTCAGCGCCACAGGCGCAGCCGCCGGGCGGGGATC